TCAAAAAACAAATTAAAGAAAAACAGAGCATTTAGGAAAATGATTATGCAAAACAAACACTATTTTACAACTTTCCTCTTAACATCAGAGCCCAAATGCAATTTCAGAGTTACCAACCCTGCTCTGAATTGCGACCTTCCATGCTTGAAACAAGCTGCAGATTCTCTTAATATTCCTCCAGAGTTGCAACTTGGTTGCAGAGCCATATTTAGAGATAGGATCATTGCAGGCAACTTTTCGGCCAACATGCCAGCAGCCTTCTCTGGCCTGGGAAGATTAGTGAAAAACGTCCTTGACGATTGATGCAATCTTGGTAAACTCCAGAGCCATGCTCCCCCCCCCCTGGATTTCAACAGCATCATTGTATCATCGGGGGATGAAGTCAGGTTAGCCTTTTGTACACGAGGAATGTGTAAGAATGATTGTAATGTGTTCAAAACAATGTGCATGCTTCAATGCTTACTAATTTCCGATAATCAAACATTGCATTTTGAGTTGTCTCTCTTTCAACAGTGTATTGCCTTGACATCTTCTTGTAATATAATATTTATATTAATGTTATTATTAATGATTACGAAAAGTAAAATATTATCAATGAAAATCTTGTAATTACCCAGCAATGATCTGCTCCGCGTTTTGATTTCCAATTAAAATATTTTAAACCAAAAAATATACCACATTATATCAATACAAGTAAAAAAAAGTACCTCTGGTTAGTTATTAACACACTTTCTTTAGGAGACCCAAACCAAACACCAAACCAAACTACAACACTCACGTTCTGTCACCTTGGACTCTGTCAAAAAATAAATTGTTTTTCCAAAAGAAAAGAAAAAATCAATTCGCGTCTGTCCTACCAAAAAAAAAAACCAAATAGGATAAATAATTAGACGCGTTGTCAGTCGATCAAAACAAACATCTTAAAAAATTTTATTTTCAAATATGTCATATACAATTAACAAAAGAAGAAAAGGAAAAGAAATTGCTCAAGATAATAATGGGTAAGTGTTTTAAGGATGGTGGTGGTTATCGCCCGCCACTCATCGTCACTCTAGTTATATATATAAAAAAAAAATAAATCATCTAACTGTTCCAAAAAAACTTTCTTGACAGAAACAAGTGGATTCAAGAAACAATAAACAATGATCATGATGATGTTTTAATATCCAATAAGAGACATATTAACGTTAAAAACATACCAGAAACGGTGCAAAAGAAACAGCGTCCAGATGTAAGATACTATTTATTATAATAATGTTTGATGCAATCATTTTTTTTCTTCCTACCTTTTGGATTTTGACATTTGCTACCTTTACATATATTTGTTCACTTATATTTATCTGTCAACACAATTAATAATCTTTGTTTATTACAGAATGAGGTAGATCTCTATATTGATCAATTATACATCTGAAAGATTCTTTTTAGGAATTTTTTTTAATTTCCCTAGGAAGGCGAATGTTCGAAAAAATGGGATCTTAGACCCCCGAAGAAAGTAAATTATTATTATGTCAATACGTCAAGTCCTGATTTATCGGAAAATGACACCATTTCTCGAGAGAGTACACCATGTCCCACAGGTATTTTGACACCAGGTGTAGCCTTTGGGGTGGTTGACAACAAATCGAATGGTGGGTTAGATTTGTGATTTTACACAAATATATAAAGAATCTATATATGTTTTTATTAATAATTATATCATTTAAAAAACAAGAAAACAGCAATGATGAAGACAATGATAGATACGATGCAGAAAGTCTTGAAGATGTTTGTTGTTATAAACAAGCCTTGGATGATAAAATTGTAATGGGAGATAACACAACATTAGATAAATATGATTCTTCAAATGATTTTTCTCTATCATCCATTTTGAGACAATATTGTGCGAAAAAAAATACCTCACCTTATGAGTTAGTTGCAATAATAAGTCACTGTTACCTTTGGATTACTGTTTATGTTTTGCTTATAATTTTTTCTTATAGCCCGGCCCACAGTTATATTTTAGACCTATCACTAACATCAAAAATTAAGGATGAATTCAGTCATAAGCAGTGGTCCGAATTGTTGAAAAGACCTGATGTAGTCAAGAAAACTTTTCATCACGAAATTGAACCATTTATCATACACCTGTTTGAAAATAATGTAAGCATATGCATCTTTGAAAATGTAACCTTGGATTATATTAACATTTTTGAATTGTTTAATATTTAGATGGACTTATCTCAAGCTCGTTTGAAATGGGATGAACTTCATAATGTAGTTGCTCCTGAATATAAAAATGAGTTTTCATATAAGAGAAATGAATGGAAGAAAATACGATGGTGGATCCAGCAAGTAATCGGGCAATTGTATGTTAGAGTAATTTCTTATATTTTCACAAAATTTAAAGAAATTTTTAACAACTGCTTATTATTATAGCCTGGATGCATTTGAGTCATTTCGAAGCCCCTTAGAAAATAACTGTAATGAGCGTGAGTGGACAGGCGATTATATCATTCCCCTAATACAGCGTGTTTTAAAGTTAGATGGTAGATGTCTTGTCCCTTGGTAAGTCAATAATCTATATTACTGGCTAAATCATACATAGGATAATAATTTTTCATTTCCTTGATATATTTAAGGGGAGAAGTTTCAGTTTTAGCAACTCAACGTCGTCGTAACAATAGTAAAGATATTAATACCGAAAAAGTGACACGAAGCCATCAAGCAGATTTTTTGTGTAGATATGAACGGAATGAAATTGCCTGTGGATTAGTATGTGGTGGCCCACATGCTTACGACTTAACAAAGTATGCCTCTGATCAGTTTAACTTGCCACGTATGATGAAGGATATGCTTGATGATTTGATGTTAAAATTTTATTATGCAAATAATCTTAAATTATATATAATCGGAATCCAGGTATTTTCGCAGTGTAATAATTTAATTTAGAGTGAAAAATTAATAATTTTTCTTGCATTAATCAGGTATATATGACAGAAGTTCAAATTTACATAATGGAAAAACGCGAAATATATTTTCTTCATCATTTAAAATCATTTGATCTACCAATATCATTTTCTTCCTATAATAGTTTGAAATTTGCATTAAGAACTGTGTGGAATATTCGGGTGAGTTTTGGTTTTTTTATAATAATAAGAATTATAGCATGAAAAATTTCTAATTGTTATTCTGATTAATAAAACAGGGATTGGTAAATTCTCTAATTCAGGAATTTGACATTATTTTAGATGGTCATGAAGGGTTTGAAACTCCACCACGTGTTTCAGGTGATATGAAAACCCAAGTAACACCACCAAAGCAACCAAAAAAGAAGTGATTGATGTAATATTAATATTAATATTAGTACTAATGTTAGCCAGCTAAGAACTTTGATAATATATTCACTAAAAATAAAATTTTAACAAAAAATAAAAATCACAAAAAAAAAAAAAAAAAAAAGAACATTATGAATATTATTTTTACTAAGTCTAATGAAAAAACCCTCAGATGGTACTACTGAGCGCTAGTAAATTTTTACATGCATAGCAAGATTTGGTAAAATTACTTTTTTTGATCCTCCCTATTTATTTATTCTTGTGAACACCAGAGATCTGAGTAGACACACATTATTAAAAGTTTCATTTATGCATGGCCTTGGTATTATTTATTACCTGGGTGATGCAATTGTTTGTTATGTCAATGATAACATCAAATGTATTGAATAATAATCATCACTATCATGAGTATTTGATG